ACTTTTACGCTTGGATTTTGTTGTTATTTCTTTAATCAAGGGTATTTTTATATTGCTCGTATTTTGGTATCATATATTATGTATTTTCCTATCTATTTTCCCCACTCATGTTCCATACTTGCATCATACACTCTAAAAACGATCTATTTTAGCTATCCAGCTCATGTCGGCACAATGCCTCGACTGAAGATAAACAAACAGACTCCATCTTTAGTTACTCCTGGGCCTGGACTTGAAAATGAATCACATGCTCGTAATAGTTTTCTTCGGTGGCCTGTACATGAGCCCCGCCACCATGCGAATCGGCGCATCCACAGAGCTGGTGGCAGCAGTAGCTCGAGCGCTGGGAGTGCCACTGGGGCTTCTGATGATCCTGGTCAATTAAAATCTGATCTTACTAAAATTGCCAGTACTGCAACTCCATTTGCTACTGATGGCGATATGGGTTTCATTTCTGTCGACCGTGTAGGTAGTTTGATTCAAAAAGATAGTAGCCAAGACGGCCGTTCAGGCATATCTGTGGTGACTCCTATTGCTACTGCTGTGCCGATTGGAGAACGCAGTGGGACTCGATTTTTACGTACTATCACTTCTAAATTGTCCCGGAGGTCAGTGGTCATATTCGCCTCAGTGATATATTAAATTCCATAATTTTGATTTTTGTAATAATGAGAGAATTTCTCTGTTTATTTATGCAAATAAATTTTTGATATGAGATGTATTTACCCTATCTCGTTTAAGGTGATAAAGGACTGGTAGTAAAATTTTCCCATAATGATATGAGTAGAGCTGACGTTTCCATTGAATTTCAAATAACTGTCCCTTCCCAAAAGTTCTCACTCAGGGTGGACTACAGTTTTTCGACCTTGCCTAGATCTTATCAACACCCCTAGCGGAAGTTGAACCGTGACAGTGCAGCATGGGAGCTTGACTTATTAACACTCGGTCACATTACCACAGGTGCCTTGGGCCACATAGCAGATGTGAATTTCAATATTGAATACATCTCATATACTACTGATTTACTGGTAGTCTCGAAACTCTACTTATATACGAAGATTTTTTGTACTCGCACCGACTTTAAACTCTACATTTATTGACCTTCTATTAATTTCTCGATTATATGTTTCTAAAAATTATGACTACACATTAGCTAGAGCGTTACAAAATATCATTTTCCTTTCTTCTACAATTTTTAATTGATTTGATAGCTAAGATCCTTATTTTATAACCAAAGGAATGTTTTGTTTGGAAACTGAATTGAATATAGACTTTTGTTTAAGATATTTCCGTCAAAAGAAAATGAGTTTTTGCTTTTCAAAGATCTGATCACCGTCATTGGCATATCTTCTTTAAATCAAGCAGCAGACCTTAGTTTAACTAGAGCCTCCTCTCCCCCCAAAAAATAACTGTATAAATGTAGAAGAACTGGGTTTCGAATAATCCCTTAATAGAATTATGTTGGAGTATCTCGACTCTTCAAACGAAATGAAAGG